AAAAAAAAAGCAAATCGATTCCAACTAGTCTATACTTTCATTTATATTTAGAATATGAGCTGGGCATGAGTATATAATGAATATATATGTGTGTCCACTGCACTCCAGCCTGGGCGACAGAGCGAGACTCCAAAAAAAAAAAAAAAAAAAGCAAATCGGAGAGAGTAAAGAGGTCCTTGCGGATTCTTCTCTTCCTGTGTAAAACCGAATGCTGGGCGCGAGAGGGGAATGTCTCAGTGGACACAGGGATGCAGCACGAGAAACACAACCACGATGAGGAGAGTCCTCCATGCATGCCACCACGTGCGGCCGCGGTCAGATGTAAACGGGCTGCTCCTGGGCCGTCAGCAGCCTGTACATGGCGGCTGGCATTGTCTTCATGTGAATCTGAGGGTACAGAACACACTTTAGTGGGGGCTGAGGCTGGGGGCTGGCTGCATGGGCACTGCCCAGGGCCGGCGAGAGAGGCAGTGCTTCTCGCATAGAGGGCTTTGAAGATACCCCCCTACTGCCCAGCCACCACCAGGGACCTGACCCAGGGTGGCCTCCAGGAAGGGTGGAATCCACTGACTTTCTCAAAAGCTTAGGGGTGACAGAAATGAACAACAAAAACCAGGCAAGGCTTGTTTCTCAGTCAAATGCTCTTGCTCTCACCAGACCCTACCCTTTTAAAAGCGAGAACTCTGAAAATGGAGGGAGAAGGGCTCAAGGCTTCTTAGGGCACCTGCCTCCCTCACCTCTCTTGGCAGATAAGGCAAGGATGACAAATCAGCCCTAGAACAGCAGTGATGACTGACAGCAGTGATGGATGACAGCAGTGATGGATGACAGCAGCGATGACTGACAGCAGCGATGACTGACAGCAGTGATGACTGACAGCTGTGATGAATGACAGTAATGACGACTGACTGACAGCAGTGATAACTGACAGCAGTGATGAATGACAGCAGTGTTGACTGACAGCAGTGATAAATGAATGACAGCAGTGATGACTGACAGCAGTGACAAATGAATGACAGCAGTGATGACTGACAGTAGTGATGAATGACAGCAGTGATGACTGGTAGCAGTGATAACTGACAGCAGTGATGACTGACAGCAGTGATGACTGACAGCAGTGATGACTGACAGCAGTGATGATTGACAGCAGTGATAAATGAATGACAGCAGTGATGACTGACAGCAGTGATAACTGACTGACAGCAGTGATGAATGACAGCAGTGATGACTGACTGACAGCAGTGATGACTGACAGCAGTAATGACTGACTGACAGCAGTGATGAATGGCAGCAGTGATGACTGACAGCAGTGATGACTGACTGATAGCAGTGATGACACGTCACGCCACACTGCACTGGGGTCACACCTCTGGAGGGCCACTTTGTTGATTTGACTTGAGTCTAAGAGTTAAATCTTTTAAATACATTTGGGGAGATTAACTGGGGAAAATGGAGGCAACTTAGGCAACCATACAGAAAAGCCACAGAAAGCTGAGTGTTGAAAAGAGAAGGTGAGCACATCAGATGAAAGAGAAGGCTGAGGGTGACCTGATTCCATTTCATGGAGAAGCTCCCGGACAACCGCTTGCAAATGTGTTTGGCGTTTGGTCAGAGACAGATAGGTCTGCTTGCTGGGGAGTGTTCAGGATTGGAAATTCAGGGAGCTTTCCCAGAAGGACTGCTCAGGGCCACAGTGGGCATATGAGGCAGGGGCACCAGACGTGGCCCGCAGCACCACCCCCAGCCCTGGATCTCTCCTACCTCCCCAACAGCATTGGAGAGAATGTGGACGATCTTCTCGTGGGGGGTGGCCACGACGCTCTGTCCATTGATTTCAATGATCCGGTGCCCCACACGGACGCCTCCTCTCTCAGCTATTCCCCCTCTCATGAGGCTGCAGATCTGCCAGAGTCAAAGGCTGTGTTACCCTCATGGCAGAGAGTGTGGCAGGGCTGGAAGGCCGTCTTTCCCGAAAGCCCCGCCCCCGCACTCTGCTCTTGGAGAAACTGACATGGTTAGGCTTTGGGCATTTAACTCTCTTAGTGTCTTTTCACAAAAGAATAGGTGCTGTTGGTCCACATGGCCACCTTGTTCATGTGGCTTGCGCAGAGACTGCAGCACATCACTGGTTTTTACGGCACACTGAATACTACTTCTCATCCCAGCTGGGGCTGGGTAAAAAGGGCCATTTGGGCCTGTCGCAGAGTCGCCAGTGTTTTCAAACTGTTAGCCTGTGTGACACAGGTTAGTGTTAGTTCCCACAGTCATGACTGGGACTCAAGCACTCACGCACCGAAGTGTTTAATGCAGCAGATTGTTTTTAGGGTCACAATTGCCTGAGCCACCGTGGGGCTGGAACTCCACCTCTGTGTTCCAAAGTGTGGCTGGCTGGGAGGGAGAGGCTCCTTTAGAGCTTCCCAATTCAGCGGCCCCTGTTCAAACTCCCTTCCCACAGAAACGACAGTGAGGCTGGATTTTGTGATGGCACAGTCAGCCACCACAGTGACCCGAGGCTGCAGGCGGGGCTGATGGGCCCTCCACCCTCACCTCACACACACTGCAACATAACTTTTCCCAAGAGTAGGTCTGAATTTACTAAGTTGGCTTTTCATTGCAGACCATGCACCTTTATTTTAAGTGGATGCAGACAAGATTGCAAGTGACATCTTGCAGCAACATGCTGTGTGATTCTGTGAGTGTGTGGCCCAGTTGCTCTCTCAGCTAGTCTGGGGTCAAAACATTCCTTAGGTGTTTTCCCAATGGACCCACAGGTGTTAACAACTCCTTGTTCATATCCAAACTTTTAATACTATTTAACTATGAACAAAGCAAACAAGTACAAGTACAAACCAATGAAAAGATGATCTCAGAGCTAGAGTGTAAAGAGTCAGCCTAGGTCCTCTCCTAATAGGTAAACTAGGCTACTCAGGTACGAAGAATGCAGGAAGTGGGGCTAGATATTTCAACTCCAAATGGGAAGTTCAAGGGTATTTCTAAACCTTAAAATGTATTTGGAATGATATTTTAATTATCTAGGACACTTTTTTTTTTTGAGACAGAATCTTGCTCTGTCACCCAGGCTGGAGTACAGTGGCACAATCTCTGCTCACTGCAACCTTTGTCTCCCGCGTTCAGGTGATCCTCCTGCCTCACCCTCCTGAGTAACTGGGATTACAGGTGTCTGCCACCACACCTGGCTAATTTTTGTATTTTTAGTAGAGACTGGGTTTTGCCATGTTGGCCAGGCTGGTCTCGAACTCCCGGCCTTAAGTAATCCGTCTGGCTTCGCCTGAAGCCCAAGGTTTGAATGATCACTCAAACACCACACTGTGTGAATCCCAGTTGTGACTGTGGGAACTGAGCCGGCCCCTGCACCGTACAACCCCATGCTTGGGAGTCAGCTGCTCTGCGGGGACTCTGTGCCGCCTGGGTGGACAGCCCAGAGGCGAGGAGGCTCTTGGAGGGTACATCCCAAACTCTTAAGCTAGCAGCCAGGAGGACAGCCCTGCATGTCACAGAAATGCTGGGTTCTGGGTGGGAATCTCTGCTGAAGGGACTCTGTCCAGAGAGGGAGCTGAGCCTGCTTCATCCATTTTTCTTGATGGATTCCTTCAGGGAACAAACTGACTTTAAAAAAAAAAAAAAAAGAAAATCAAAGGCCCTGTAATACCAGCACTTTGGGAGACAGAGGCAGGCAGATCACAAGGTCAGGAGTTCAAGACCAGCCTGGCCAGTATGGTGAAACCCCGTCTCTACTAAAAATACAAAAATTAGCTGGGCAGAGTGGCACATGCCTGTAGTCCCAGCTACTCAGGAGGCTGAGGCAGGAGAATCCCTTGAACCCAGGAGGTGGAGGTTGCAGTGAGCTGAGATCGTGCCACTGTACTCCATACTGGATGACAGAGCAAGACTCCATCTCAATTAAAAAAAAAAAATAATAAAAGGCCAGGCTACATTTTTATTTGTCAACATTGTAGAAAAGGATGTGGAAGGTGTTCTACTTACAATTCCGTTCTGGACACTGAAACCCAACTGGTAGCGAAGGTCTGGTCTTCTGATTAACACGGTGGTGACCGGAGGACATCTCACAATATTCAGCTTGACTCGGGATTGATTCTTTAAGCCCTTAAACATGAATAAAGTACAGTGGGTATGGTGACCACTGAGGCAGACAGAGTAAACAAAAGCAGGCAGCACCAAAGGCAAAAGAAGCCACACTGAGTTTTCCGTAGGACCCACTGCCTGCCTGCAGGCCTTCAGTGCCCGGGCTGGTACAGTCACTGCTCGGCTTCACCTACCCAGGGAAGATGCCACATGGTGCAGATGAAGCCCTTTCAGCCCATGCACAGATGGGGTTCCTGTGGGCAATGCCTTCCTTTTGGGAAGTGGACTAGGTTCAAGGGATCTGATCAAAGTACTTGCGCAACTATGAGGAAGTGTCAGATGTACTTTTTGACTTCAGAGATGAAGGAGGCACACTATTTCCCCCAGCCAGGAAAGACACGAGTGGGAAATGGATTTTCTTTCTGGAAGGCAAACTCTAGCAATGACTCCTCTTCTAACAAAGGACATCTAACTCACAGCAACTGGCCTGATTCATCATGGCTCTTTTTTCTGGTCTCTGATGCTCCTCTTTCCCCTTCTTCCTGCCAGTGAGAGATTTTACAGCTATCAACATTCCCACAGCAACCAGGGACTCCAATCAGTGTGTGCGCCCTTGGGAGAATGGGGAGGGTTGCAGGATGGGTGTTGATGGAGAAAGAAGGGGAAGAAATACGACTTGCAGACTGTTGTTTCATGATCCCTGATGACACACCTCTCCCTCTAAATTAAAATGGAGCACAGAGGGAAAGCTGATCTTTGACTATAACAAGGGACTAGTTTCAGTGACTGTGTAGAAAGCTTCCACCTTGGTGTATCGCAGGCTCCTGCTCCTGTCCCCTGATCAGACTCACAGCAGTGAGAGAAGCCCTGGTGTGCTCAGAAGCATCTTTAGAAAACCATCACAAAGCTACATTTGCCCTAAGCTGGGCAATGGGAAGGTTTGCTCCTGCAGGCCCGACCACTGACTTGTCAGCTTCATCCTAGAGGAGGGTGCTGGGCAAAAGGAACTCAGCTCTGAAACAAATGTCCATTTTCCAGTCTCCCCAGGGTGCCTGCTCTGCCTCAACAAACTCCTGATTACCAGATGGGATAGAAGGAGTGACCAATAGCAGGTGCCTTCCCACCCTTTTCAAGTCATGGTATGCAGGAGAATCTTGTTTGCATGCTGGGGTAAACAGACCACACTGTTGTAGCTGGAGGCCCTGCTACAAGAGCTGAGGCAGCGCGGGTCAGAGCCCTCAGTGGGAAGCACCTGCCTGACTGGACTCCCATCTACACGGCCAGTTGTCTGGGAAACTGCTCAAGGTCAGGCCCAGGCCCACTCCTCCAAAGGGAACTGTAGGGTGGGTGGGAGGAGAGGTGGGTAACTTTTCCTCCAGGGGAGAACAGCTACCAGGGAATGAGGAGGCACTCAGGGAAAAGGCAAGCTCTGTTCTATCTAAGCCCACAGTATCGCCCAGAGACAGCATCTGCTCAGTTCACAAGTGGGTCCAGTTTGTGCCCTCTATGAGTGAAGTGGAAAGAGAACCTGGAAAGAACAGTAACAAATCCACAAAAAGCACGCATGAGGGGTGATCGTCTGCCTCTTATTCTATAAATAGAATTCTGCAAATTCCACAGCCACTACTGCTGTCACTCCTTGACCAGTCTACCAAATCTTTTTCAGTGCGAGGTCAGGACTTACATTGCACATTTTAAAGATGAAGACATAGACATGGAGCTTGCTTTGTCCAAGGGCTCTGTGGGGTCAGGACTGGAATGATGGATCCTTGCTCAGGCACCCTGCCTAGCAGAGGCGTGAAACTGGTGTTAGACAATTTCACTGCAAACAGAATCTGTAGCCAGAGTGCTTCTTGGAGTGGCAGAAAAGACCAACACCCCTTCTGTATCTGAGTTACAGAATATGCTTTAGATTGAGGGAGAGGCGGGGGCTATTTAGTCTCTGGTTATCCAGCTTTACCATGCTTGGCCAGCAGGTATATACCAATGGCTCTTAAACCCCACACAGCAGCAGCAGCAGCAGCCCCTGGCCACTTTTTAGAAGTGCAAATTCTGGGCTCTACCCAAGCCCCACTGAATCAGAAACCTAGGGGTGGGACCCAGGAATCTGTGGATGACAAGTCTCTGAGATGATTCGGGTGCACGCTCAATTTGCGAACAACTGGTGTGGACCACTACTGCAGAACAATGAATGGCCTCATCTGCATCCAGGTGGCTTAATTTCTCCACGGATGATTACATCCAAAGATGTCACTTTACTAGTCACACCTGCAGCCAGTGTGCTCAGTGGGAGCAGGTGCTGGCAAGGGTGGGGTGAGGGTGACATCTTGTGGGAAATTTTGTTAGCCCAGTCACTATACAGCTGACCCGTGGTCAGTCATCTGCATGTCTGTGTCATGCAGGAACACCCCTAAGATCACTGCACATCAAAATCTACCCTGATGATGAAACTAATGGAACCAAAATGACTGTAACTACCTGTCATTGGACACTCACTGTGGTCTGGCATTGACCTGGAAAGGACAGGAGCTGTCTCATTTAATGTGGTGGCCATAATTATTCTATAAATATATTATACAAGAGGAAACTGAGGCTCAGAGATATTAAATGACTTACTCACATTCACACACAGCAAGATTCAATCCTAGGTCTGTCTGCATTCAAAACGTGCAGTATTTCTACACCATAATGCCCCATATACACAACCGGAGAGGGTGTGTCTTTTGTGAATAAGGCTTGCTCCACAAAGATGACAGGGTCAGCCACAGAACAAATCTGCGTCCCCAAATTCCAGCCTTGAATTGGGGCCATCTTTTTAGTTCACTTTCCTACGTGGCAAGAGTTTTTTGGGGTTCCTGGTCCTCACAGTTCCCCACCCCCTGGCTTCCCCACTGATGTGGTTCTAGTTTCTGCTCCTAATGTGTGAATCTTGATGGAACTCAATTTCCCCGCTGTCAGCGTCTGCTCCCCTAGTGCTCTGAATTCCTCTGCTTTTTGCAGGACTTGAGCCTCCCCATGGCTGTCACTCTGCTTGTGGTCTCCATGTACCATGCGACTTGGCATTCACACTCATGCGGCATCTCCCGGTGGTTTTGGAACATCTCCGGGGAACTGTTCTGGTTAAGGAAATGATTCCAAAGCACAGCAATGGAATGAGTGTGATTCTCCCTGGGGAAATGAACATCTGCGAAGGATTCAGGCCTTCCATATGCAGCAGGTCCCATCGTCCCCATCAACAAAGGGAGATGCTCTGGCCTTCCGCTCCTATCGACAGGACCAGCACAGCCTGGTGAAGAGGACTCCCCTGGTGTCAGAAGACCTGAAGTCAAGTTTTGTTTCTGCTACCCCAAGCAGTGGGATCTGAAGCCCTTTGCTCACCCTTCTCCCACCTCAATTTCCTCATCTTCCCAACAAATGGTAAAGCTCACTAACGTCTCTTGCAGTTCTGATTTCAATGACTGCATCCCCTTTAATGTGTTTATTCCTAAATGCCTTTGTCTGCAACATCAAATCTCAACCATTATGCTTAACCCTATTTCTGAAATTTAAAGTGGGCTTCTTTTGCAGGGCTGGGAGGTATGATGGAGAGCAGCTCAGACATTCATGCAGACATTTTTATCTGCTTTGAGTGCTTACTCCTTCCCACCCACTTAATCAATCAATATTTACGAATCACTTGTCATGTGCCAAGAAATGTGTTAGGCACTGGAAATTCCGAGAAGTGCACCCGTTCCGGGGGGGACAAGAGACATTATCGGTACTAAGCACAGGGCTGTGAGCCCAGAGGGGGCTTGAGTCCCTTCACCCTTTTCTTTCTCTCTAATCACAAACTAGGAGACCAGGAATTTGTGGGAAAGAAGAGAGATGAATGATGAAGACAGGAGCATGCTGTTGGAATCTCAACCCTTCAGGCAAAGCCACCTGCTTTAAATGTTTACACCTGTTAACCGCTGATATTATTTAGGTACGCTTGTGTGATACAGAAAATGTTACCCAACATACCCAAAAGCAAGAGAATGACTTTATCTTCTCAATGTTGCCTAAAAAATTCACACTGCTCTGGTGGGTTCTTTCCTTCTCTGTGAATTGATTTAAGACGCCTGATCTGTTCCTCAGTGAAAGATTTTCTAGATTGGGGAAAATGTGTTGCAAGATGAGGCTTAAGAGAAATAGCAATTGGAAATAACCAGACCATGCATTTGCTCTGCTGTTCCTAATCAATGTTTCATGTTGGGTCCCATTAACTTAGATTTCTGAGCTGCCATTTTATTGGAGGTGCCAATTAAATAAAGGGTCATTTGGTCCCCATGACAACAGTGGAACGGTACAGCAAATTAAGAAATCTGGTGGGAGGGGAAGGCCAAAGAAGAGGAGCGAAGAGAGAAAAGAGAAGCCAGAATGGTCTCTATAGCAACGGGAGAGCGGAACCATGATGCTCCTGGGGAAGCAAGGGAAGCTGTGCGCTATTCTAAAACAGAGCAAAAACCCAGAGGGCAGGACCACAGAGGCAAAGGCCCAGAAAAAGGCAGCCTGTAAAATGTTCCACCCACCAATAATTATGCCTTGGGAATTAATTATGACCCAAAAAATAAGAGGTAGGAAGAGGAAGGCAAGTCAATACCTATAATTCTACTCTAGAAATCTATTTCCTCTAATCTGGGGGGAAAATGGTCAACCAGTATTGAAGAGGCCAGATGCAGAATGCACACTTTGGACCCCTGTTCCAGAAAGTGTGGCCTGCAGACTGGTGATGCCATCACCCCTACAGAGCCTGCTGAAAACGCAGAATCCCACCCTACACCCGCTGAATCAGACCTGCAGTCTAACAAGATCCCCAGGTGATTCCAATCAGTTTGAGAAGCACTGATTCATCAGGATGAGGGTTGCTTGTCAAAGTCACTGCAAAGAGCATGGACATACACTGAAACAAATTTGAACACAGCCTTGAAGCGGCCCAGACGCTGCTCTGCAGTGGCCCGAGGGGTAGGGGTAGGGCAGTGCGCACATCTGTCCAGGTGCAGGCAAAAAGGAATGTGTTTTCTAGAGAATTTTAAAAACGTGATAGAACCCACTGAAGTCAGTCTGTATTTGGTACTGGCAATTCTGGCTGTTATCAGTGGTTACACCTCCCACCAGCCAGGGTGGTCCACGGACGGACCATCACATCTCCCCATTCAACAAGCGGCGCACTGTGGCAGGGAGGAAGTTCAGCTGTGCTCTAATCAGGGTCTGCCCTGTTAAGTACTTCTTCACTATGGGCGGCCATGAAGGCACTGCTTTCCTTACTCTTCATCTTCATCAGTTACATCTCTTTCATCACCACTCGGCCTTTTAATTTTCTGGTTCTATAGAGACTACATTTATAGACATCAAAGTTCAGCTCCTCAAACAATCCGTTTCCCCTTAGGAAACCGTGCAGACAGAGCTCCGTCTGTACTCCAGCAAGCTTTGCTTCCACCTTCATGCTGTGATCCCACGGCAGCTGCAGAGGGAGTCAGGCCTCCCTCACAGCCTCACTGCTTTCCTCCTCTGGTCCCCGAGCAGATGAGGCGGGAGGGATGCTCAGGAGGGTGGGGACTCACTGGCCAGCTGGGGGCCCTGAGCAAGTCTTCTGTGTGTTTAGAGTCTCCGATGGCCCATGTGTGCACCTAGCATCTGCTGTCCCCCTTGTGGGCTGTCCTGAGGAGGAAGGGAGGTGACTCCAGGCCATGAGCTGGAGTCTTGCAGGCCTCAGGAAGCCCAGCTTGTTCTTGCCCAGGCCCCATCCCCACCTTTACTTAAGTCCTCCCCTTGTCTGAGTCTGTTCTTAGTCTGCCATGACAAAGTACCACAGACTAGGTGGCTTATAAACAACAGACATTTCTCTCTCACAGTTCTGGAGACTGGAAGTCCGAGATCAGTGTACCAGCACTGGCAGGGTCTGGTGAGGTCCCCTTCTGAGTTGCAGATGGCCAACTTCTAGTATCTTCACATAGCAAAAGACAGCTTGCTGGGGTCCCTTTTTTAAGGGCACTAATCCCAACCATGAGGGCTCCACCCTCATGCTGATCACTTCCTAAAGGCCCTACCTCCAAATAGTATCACATTGGGATTAGGGTTTCAATATGCATTTGGAGGGAACACAAATATTATTCAATACTTAACCCCCCATCCCCTCTCCTCCTCCCCAACCCTTCTAGACACAGACCAGCTCCCCACAAACCGTCCCTGACCAGCTTCCCTCTCTCATCGATTTGTCTCTCTTGCTTCTGAACTCCTACACCGCCCAGGCAGAGTTTCTCAACCTCATTTGGGGCTGGATAACTCTGTGCTGTGGGGCTGTGCTGTGCACCGTAGGATGTTTGATAGCATCCCTGGCCTCTACCCACTGGATGCTGGCAGCACCTTCTCCTCCCCAGTAGTGACAACCCAGTCTCCATACATTTTGGAGGATGCAAGATCACCCCTGGCTGAGAAGTACCACCTCAGGGTCTGGCTTGGGCCTAGCATTTCACCTGACACCCTCCCTGGGATGAGTCTGTATTGGAGGCTTATCCTCCAATCCTTAACCATGGGTGATTACATCATCTTGCTGTGCCTCAGCTTCCTAGCTTGTACAATGGGTGCAACAATAGTACCTGCCCACAGAATGCTGCCCCGAAGGCTCAGCAAGTCAGTCCACACATATCTCAGAGCACACAGCGCTCAGAGCACCCAGAGCACAGACACACAGCACTGAGCACTGCAAGCCATAAGTCCTTTCACTTCTCCTCAAACCGATCAAGCTCCCTGGGGGCAGGGACTGTCTCCATGGGATCCCTGGGTCCCACAGCCCCTCAGCAGTTCTCATGCATGCACCCAAGGTGTTTAATAAGCAACTTGCTCACTGGCAGGAGCGACTTGTGGTCCTGCCTCCCCAGCCCCACCTCCCGCTTGCCTCTCCATGTGATCATAGCAACACCAGACCAGCCTTTCCAGGCCAGGCTCAGACCCCATCTCTCCCTGACTCAACACCGGCCCCTGTCCATCAATTCAAGCAGAAACTTCCAAAGGCCTACTGACCTAGGTTTTACTCCTTCAAGGTCAACTTTAAAATCACATAAAATGGGCCGTCTAATCACTCATAGCCTCTCACCTTTGCTCTTAGGGCCGCAGAGCCCTTGCACATCTCTAATTATCCTCCACATGCATACTGTCAAGCCAGCTTCCCCAGAGCACGGCTCTGCCTCACAGAGGCCCAATTAAACCTGTCTGAATGAATATCCATGTTCAAAGTTGATTCTCTAATCTTATCTTTAATGTGTATTAAACAAGAGGTAGAATTCATTTAAGTGTAAGATATAAGAAAAAGAAATTAGAGGAGGCCAAAGAGGACTATTTCTTTCCAGATGTGATTATCTTACGTGGAATTAGAATTTAATCCATTTCATTAAAAACAAAAAGGCACCATCCGTGTGTCCTATACACTCACCTTAACCTCCCATCCCCACCCGCTCAGCCGAGGATGCTGGCTTTGTGATTTTTCTTTTGCTCACAATGACTATTTGCATGCATTCATCCCTTTCCTTCTCCTTCTCCCTCTCTCACACATGCACATATGTACACAGCTACATCCTAGCTAAGTCTTTCAGGAAACCTCTGCAGGACCAAAAAAAAGTTGTGGAATCTCAGTCTACCTACAGTACCACAGCATTAGGTGCAGAGCTACTGGGGTCTACAGATGCTGTCATGGAGGAGGGACATCCCAGTCACACTGGCCATGCAATCGGCAAGTTCCAATGTGCTCAAAAGACTCCACGTGAATGCTTCATGTCTAAAGAAAGTCTCACTTCTTCTCAAGTGTTCACATTTAATTTTCCTTCCAGTAGCTCTTCTTAGCCTTATAAGCATCAGTTCAGGTTGAGCAGGAAGGATGCTCAGGTATGAAAAAGCTTCCATGGACTGGAAGAGAGTTTCCTCCTTCTTCTGGCAACGAGCACATGTGAGTTGCTTTACCCGGGGTCTGAGGGAGGACAAACTCACCTGCATCATAGTCAGGGCCACTGGGAAGGAAAAAGCGCTCAGATTTGAAGCATTTCTGTGATTTTTTTGACAGGGATGCTAAATCGTGCCAAGTGTATCTGGCTGACTATAAGTGATTGTCTGGATTCCCGAGCTGAGGCCTTTTCTGTTGAGGCTGAGTCTGGGCTTTGTGGGAGAGTGCTGTGATTGGCTAGTGATGCCTGTGAGGGACATGCTGCTATTAGAAAGTAGTGTTATGTGAACCAAATACACTTGCCCTGATCTAAATTGATTTCAGGGAAGAATCTGTAAACAGTAACTTGATGGTAAGCTTCCTGAGTGCAAGTCCACACCTTTTGTGTTTATGTCTTCCTTGGTGCCTGACACTTCGAATATGTTCATATACATTAATGACTGGATGGGGGTCACACTTCACATCACTTGAGGTTTACCACAGCAGCTAATTTTTCCCATATTCAGGTACCTTAATAATGCTCTGGCAGGTGGATAGAGGCAGGCCCACCAGGCTGGTGCCATTAATGGACATGATCTGGTCACCGATATTCAGCTTCCCAGATTTCTCTGCAGGGCCACCATGCATCATATTGGCAATGATCACGGTGGGGAGGATGGATCCCCAGCCAGACTCCACAATCACCACACCTAGGATTTCTCCTTTCTGCTTCTCTATGAAAACCTGGAAGGAGAAAAACATTTAGAAAGCCTACATCAGCAACCATCTGGGGTAGGTGGAAATCAAAGCCTCTCCCCCATTCCTGTCTCGCCTAAAGAGACACTTCCCTGGGGGGAAGGCACTTCCCAGATGAGTTCCTGTCTTCTCAGCATTCCGCACATTTGGAATTTTTAAGAAATGAATTCACACAGGTCTGCACTCTTTTGTAATTCACTCTTGTTTCACATAAACAAACTTGCCTCAGCACACAACCACGAGGACCACCAGTTTTGTTTTTTTTTTTTTCTTTTTTTTTTCAATTTCTTCAGTCCTGTCCTCAGTGGCAGGGGAAGAGACTCTGTGGGTGGGTGGTGTGTTACGGTTTCTAGAAATAGCTTTTCAAATTCCATGCGCAGGTTCCCCCTCCCACAGTGCTTCCCCAATTCGCTCCGACATTTAAGTTTCTTGAGTTAAAAATAAATAAACACACAGAAACACTTCTCTGCAAGGAGAAAAAGTTGAGAAAAAAGAAAAAAAACGTGATGCTGAAGTTATCACAACCAAAGGTTGGGTGTGCACTCAGGAAGTGCATATCCTGGATACACAGATTTTTCACAACCTTTACTGGCACGGCAGAGAAGACAGGAGTTGATGTTGGATACTTGCACTCTGGGGAGGCCTGCAGAGATGCCACTAAAAGGTACTGCACCTCTTGGAAGCATCCAACAAAGAGTATGTATGTGTATTTTTGGGGGACTTGACAAAGTCCCCTTCACAGGTTGATGTCTGCTTCCCCCAGCTGCTGAAGTTCACAGTCAGCCCCTTCCCTGGAGAACTGTCCTTAGCTGAATGGGAGACACCTTCTGTTAAGGTTGAATTGTATCCCCCCAAAATTTGTGTGTTGACTTCCCAATCCCCAGTGCCTTAGACTTAGATTGTGACTATTTGGAGATAAGGTCTTAACAGAGGTAACCAATTTTAAATGAGGTGATTAATATGGGCTCTAATCCAATATGCTGGTGTCCTTAAGTAAGAAGAGGAATGGTTGTCTGTCATGGGTATCAAAAAAAGAAGAGGAAATTTGGACATAGAGACATGCATGGAGAAAGGATGATGTGAAGACACAGGATGAAGACAGCCATCTACAAGCCAAAGAGAGAGGCTTCGAACAGATTCTTCTCTCATGGCCCTCAGAAGGAACCAACACTACCAACATCTTGCTTTTGGTCTTCTGGCTGCAAGGTCTGTGAGACAATAGGTTTCTGTTGTTGAAGCCACCCAGTCCATGGTACTTTGTGACAGAAGCCCTAGCGAATTCATACACCCCCTGTCCAGCCTTGGCCAATGACCGGCGTGGGGTACAAAGGCTTGCCAGCTCCCTTGCTCCAAGGTGAGATAAATCTGTCCTGCAATCTGAGCCATGGAGCTTCCCTCTGGGTCAGAAGGAAGCTCCTTGCAGAAAGGTGGGGCACCCTTCCTTGGTGTCCCACCACCAAGCTTCCCACATCCCTTCTGTTCTGAGGCACTTTTCCAACAAACCTCCGTGACAAGAATCCCTGCCTCAGGCTCTGCTTCTGGGGAATCTGACCTAAGACACCTGACAGACCCCAGTGGATCAAATGATCGCTTTCTCATTAAAAGTTCTTTTTACCTATGGGATCAAGTCCAAACCCCTCAGCTGGACTTGCAGGCCCTCTAGTCCTGACCCAGACCTCAGGCCCATCTATCTCCTTTCCTGTGCCCACCTCCTGCTCTAGCCAAACCATACTTCCCCATTCCCCAGACAAATGTGGAACTTTCTGACCTCCAGGCTTCCAACCATTCCATAGACCCTACCCTCGGCTTGCCCCTACAATCCCCAGATCGCCAGATCAGCTCAGATAGCCTCGTCTTCCTACAGGCACTCCTGAAGAGCTCAGTCTGAAACCACAGGTCATCCCCAGAGGACCACAGCATCTTTTGTCTGAAACCCGAGATCTTCTCTGTTTGTCCAAGAGTAGTTGGTTTTGATTAGTGCCTGTCCTGGCACCATTACTTAACTTTTTCAGTGCCCTTACCTAGATTGCAGGGTTTGTACAGGCAGAGTTCAGGTCCTATCTGCCTCTGGGACCCACTCCAAACTTAGCTCAGGATGACCAGGAGCAGAGGATGTGCTGCCTCTCTGTTTATACACAATAGCATTTCATGACAGGGCCTCAGAGCGGGGGAGCAAGAGATGGGTGTGAGTGACTTCACGATGTCCTGCCAATACTGCACTCCTCACCCTTGATCTGCCTTCACTTCCGCGGCAGGATGCCCCCCTTTCCAGGCCCCTACCCAGCTGACCCAGCCTGGAGAACAGCTTCAGGAAAGTACCCACATCTTTACAGTTTTCCGACTTGGAGAAGTGAATCAGGTCATCGTTGTACATGTCCTGGGTATTGAGCAGGTCACTATACTCCTTCTGGCTGAGATCTTCGGGGTTAATCCCATTGGCCCTGAGGAATTCCTGGTACGCCACGCTAAATGCCTGTCCGATGGACTGTGCAATCAGCTGAGCCTGGAACAACAGCCAGAGAGGAAAGATGGTCAGCAGAGCAGTGCATCTGGTGAGCAGCCTGGCGCGCTTCCCACCTGAACAATGGCCCTCCTGGAGTTTGAAGAAGCCCTAGATATCACGCCTGCTGGGCCAGTGGCTCTACATGGGGCTACCAGTGCCCGCCAGGGGCCGTTTTCAGAATGACTGGAGATGTTTTTGATTATGATGATGATCATAAGGGAGCTACCGGCATTCAGCAGACAGGAGTCAGAGATGCTGAATATCCCGCCATGCAAAAAACAGCTTGATACAGTGATGAGTCATTCTATACCCTGCATCATCTTCACAGATCCCACTGGACATTCATGAGCATGCAATACTTGTTTACAGTTATCTGAGTCCAGGATTCAACTCCAATTTATACATAAACACAAAGACTTTGTGTGACTCTAATACACATCAAACATTTCAAGAATAATACTGTGTGAATTGAGAGAAGATGTTATTTTGCTTCATTCAGTACTTCACCAGAAGGAAGCTTCATGACTTCGAAAAATCATCAACATCAGTGCTGTTGTGGTATCTGTGCTGCCGATAAATCACGTACCTATCAACCTGCACATGTGCTGTTGTGCATGGTGATTCTGCATGTGCTTGTAGACACATACATGTTATGTAGCCCTCAATTTGAAATATCAACTAGAAAGTGTTTACCATATCCCACTGCACACTGTGTTCTGCTACATTCAAGCTTAATCAGGTAGGTATAAGCATCCTGACTACCTCATTATGCCTTTCAGAATGGTTGCGCCAGAGCATTTATTAATACATATTGTAATATGGTTTTATTTTAGCTTGCTTTCCACTTATCTTTCCTTTATATTACATTTATGGCCACAATTTGATTATTCTGTGAAAGATTTTTCAATAGGGGAGGTTATATTAGCTATGAATTTCATTTCAGGATAGTAATGGGTCATTAATAAAATATTTATTGTAGAAAGGGAGTGTTGGATCTAACAGAGTTGAGAACTCTGACTGGTCCAACCCTGTGTTTTCCAGTTGAGGAGATGGAGGCCCAGAGACACAAAGGAACCTCTCAAGGTCACACAGCTTACAGGAGGTGGCACTGACTTCTGCACTGGGCTTTGATAGCTTTTCCCTGCATTAATTAAGCAACATTATTAATCCAGATAGCCAACAGCAACTGAACACTTCTCATGTGGCTATGCTGCAGTAAATGCTACACAAGGTATATGCTATGAAAAGTAAATGCTATACAAGGACCATCACTGAATCTGCATATCAATTCTATGACAGCTATTAGTATGACTGGTCCACAATCTTTCACTTGGAATGTGAGAGGCTCTGTTTCAGAATTCAAAACTTTTCCAATTTTAGAAAGGTAGCAGGGTGCAAATACTGGACATTGTGCCATAACCTCCCTTAGGGTCTGGGGAAGTACACAGAGCACAGTAACATTTCTGTGGCAAAATGTGTAAGATTCATGGTAAGCTGGACAAATCCTATAAATGGCCTCCCGGCAGGCAAGGCAGGTTTATCAGCCACCTGACTGCAAAAATCCCTTTTGTTTCTCAGAGCTTTCTAGACTTTGGAACCATGGATCTGTATTAGTGTCCCCATTGGGTAGACCAGGACATGGAGGTTGAGGGGTTAAACTGCACACTTCCTGAGAAGGGGCTGGGGGCTGAATTCAGAGCCCATCCTCCTGACCACCACACTGGACAGCTTCTCTGTGAATTCTGATGGGCAGAAAAACAAAGCCAAACCAGAACATCTCTAGAGCAGTGTTTTAAAAACACAATTCTAACCTCCACTCCACTTTCCCCACCTTTCCTAAATGTTGGTAAAAGCACCTTATTAACAGCAAAACAGGAACTTTCCATGTGACTGGCTATGGGAAAAGAAATACTGAACTTTTCTCACTGTGAGAATCTGGTGACTTTACAAGTCACATCAAGGACTACCACCGTCCACCTATTGTAAAACCGGAAGGAGTAAGGCATTGCTTTCGGCATCAGAGAGGTGCATGTAGACAAACTGAAAAATATATACCTGAGAATGTGACCAGTCGACTTCCTGATCACCATTAGTGGATGCCCCCGGTGAATGCACTGGCTACTGGGATTTATGGACCACTAGCCATGTGCCACACATCAGGCTTTAACTGCAGTATCTATGAGAGTGCTGCAGCAGCCTGGCGAGGGAGGCACTATCGTCCTGCAGAAGAGCAGCCTGAGGCTTAGTGGCTGCACAGCTTGGATGAGGAAGGACTCAAGCCCAGCTTGCCCAGTTCTGGAGCCAGCACACTCTGGCCCTGCTCTAGTGAAAGCAAAGGGGTAAGGTTCCAGGTCTACTCTTGCTTACCTCTTGCTTCTCCATTCTTTCCTTTCTTCCCTGGCGGACCCAAGGGCACCCCAAGGAGAAGAAACCCCTCCCTAAGAGCTCCAGCCAGATGGAGGTGGCGGTGGGGCCCACAGGGATCCTTGATCCCTGTAACTCTGTCTTTTCACTGGCCTGCAGGACACAGGAGGCTTAAAAGTCCAAATTTTCACTTTTGGAACTTTCTGAGAACCTCCTAAAACTCATTTTCCCCCGTTTGCATGTTGGCCTCAGCTTTACAGGAACAGTAGGGAGAATGGCAGGCAGAGGTATTTCAAGCTCTCTGTCCTCCCAGTGACCTTGTCCTGTGGCTGCTTTCTAGAGAACAAGACCAGTAAAGGATGGTGACAGTAAGTGTCGGCATCTCCTCTCTGTGCCCACAGCCCCGACAGCTCTGGTTCCCTGGAGAAAAAAGCAGGATGGCTGCTGACACCTAACTTCCAAGAGGAAGGCAATTTCTGCAGCTAGATGAATGCTGTACTGGAGAATAATGACCTCTTTGAAGGAACCAAGGCTACAAGACACCATCTTCTCTTCACAGATCAGGACTCTGTGCTCCATGTGGGAAACAGAGCTTATTCCTCTGCGTCAGGAGGAAAACATGAGAACGGTCAAAAGCAATGGTCCTCAGGCGGTGGGTGAGTTTTCTGCTGTTAAAGATTACTATGGGGCTGTGGCCTCCCCTGGGAGGCAGCTTCTGAGGCCCAGGATGGCGAGGGGAAGTAGGGGAGCACCTAGGAGCAGCTCAGGTGCTAATGCAGTTTGCAGCCTGGTGGCCTCACTAGCAGCTTGGGTTACAACCCTGAAAGCAGGCCAAATGAAAAAATGGCTTCTGTTGTAAACAAATTTTCTCTGTTGACCACATCACCCAGAGAAATGGAGCTTAGGAATCACTGACTTTGTGCCAGGAAGAGGAGCTGGTTTTCCTAAGGACTGGGGTGGGTAGTGCTGTTGTTTGCTGGGGAGGGACAGGGATGCTAACTTTCCTGTAGCCCAGAGGATGGTCCTGGACCACAAAGAACTGTCCTCCCAAAATGCCCTCATGCTTGGGCAGACCTGCTCAAACCCCTACAGGGGGGCCAAATTCTTCCTACTCTTCACCTCATCCCAAAGTCTCTAATAACTCAGCCTCCTTTCCCTTCCTCAAAGGGAAACGCAGCTAGCCCCTGACTCAGGGCCTTCACACCTGCTCCTTCCTCATTCTCACTTTATTCAGGTCTCTGCTCCAAGGTCACCTCCTCAAGCGAGGGCTTTGTTGATCACCCTACCTGACATAGCCCCTGTCCCTCCATCCCTTGACCCTGTTTTATTTGTCTGTGGAGCACTCCCCACTACCCAATTTTACATTAAGTATATTTACCTATTGCTTTTCTGTCTCCTTTCAGCCCTTGCGATGAGTACCCTGTCTGTTTTATTCAGACTTGTATCTCTAGTGCTGGAACAGTGCCTGACACACAGTATGTGCACAGTAAATACATGTTTCATGTGTGATGAATTAGACTGAATCAGGTTCTGAAAAGTCAAGAGAACCTAACCCAGAAGGAGATCAAAGGAAGCAACCCTTACATCCTCAGACTCGAAGACGTGGCAGATCATCTTGTACTGCCTTTTCCCATCCTGGGACGGGTGGGAGGCTTCCACGTTCTCCTGGGAGTTGGAACGAGGCATCCGCCGGCGGGCCATCAGCACAACGATGTTCCCAATGTCCGCAATGTAGGAAATGGTCCTCAGAGGGTGGTCCATCATTGTCTCCTGGAGGCAGGAGGAGAGGGCAGGTAAGTCCAGCTCAGCATCTAATGACCCAAGAGAGCGCCTGCCACCCCATAGCCAGTCAAGTATGTTCACATGCAGGGTGGGCTCCCCGGCTCACTGCAAAGCCCATGGTGAGGGATTAATGGATCCCCACCCAGGCCTGAGGGCATTTCCCTTGGCTAACCAAGAGCAGGAAATGATCTGTGGCAGGTGAAAAGAAATAAGAAATTCCAAACAGTAGAATCTCTTGTGGGGAAGTTAAAAAAAAAAAAAAAAGACAAAAAAAATCAAAATGGCATGGCTGTTTCTGTTTTTGTGTGCAGGAGTGTATGAATGATTTTAAACCCAATTTCTTAAAAGACGAATGTGTCCACATTAATGAATCCTCTGATTAAAATTTCTGAAAATGCTAAACGTCATCCATGTCTTAGGGGCGTTTTTGGGCTTTAAGAAAGCAATCCCAAACCCCATCCAGCAGCAGGCACTGTGAACACCACCTTCTAGCTCACTGGGGCCCAGCATCTGGGGACAGCCGCTCTACCGACACATGCATCTCTGAGTTACGATGCCACTAAGCTTCCCCCTGGGAAAGGTGGAAGCCAGCTGATACCTGTGTGTCAGCGTTCAGCACTTTGATTCTCTGGGTAGAAATGAAGAGATCCACCTCAGTCATTGGCTGAGATTCGCCTTCAGGAGCCTGAGAAGAAAAAATGCACCAAGAGAAAGTTTGACCACACTGCCCTGACCCAGATGCAGAAGGAGTCAGGTTAGCTCACACAGAGGCACCAAGACACAGTTACCAGAACAGCAATACAGACTCTAGGCTTAAACTGCCAAAGCTGAAGGTACCACACAGAGGATGGACACATGGACAAGAGTTAGCACCTTTAGGTTATAGGGAAAAACGCAGAATCCCCTTTTCTTCCTCCCCTATAGAAGCAGTAACTCACTGCAGTAGATTTCACTGTTTGAACGATGATGGCAAGTGGCGCTCTCTGTAAGGGTTTTGGAGCCCAACAGATTGAAGAAATAGGGCAAAAATCTCATACCAAAAGACCTTGGGGAAGTCGCTTAGAATTTGCCTCTGCTTGAGCCGATGGAAGACAATGTTCATAGCAGCTGCAAATGAAGCCATTTGGATGCAGTTCTGGTAAGAGGGTCTTTACATTTTACACACCACCCCAGCAACACAGAAGCAGTCCTGAAGCCACCCCATTAAGGAAGAGCCCCAATGCCTCAACGTCCCAGGAGTAGTAGTTCATAAGCACCTAGAAGCTCCACAACCAAAAAGCGCAGTCTGGTTCATTTAGGGCTTAACTCTGTACATGTGTGGTTATTAGCGAGTTTTCTTTTTTGCATCCAGCAATCTGACAAATCCACAAATCAAGCATAACTATAATCGAACAGACTCAAGTCCCTGCCACATCGATGCTCCTGAATGGTTGGAACTTCCATACTACTATATGATTCATTTAGCATCTCCAATCTGCTCCCTGTCGTTCCTCTGAAGTGAAATGACTAATGAGCAACAGAAAACGGCCACCTTCGGCAACTGAGTTTTGAGAAATGCTGGCTTATGGGGCGGTTCAAAAAGAAATCTGAACAAAAACTTGCTGGATGCAGAAAACAAAAACACGAAAATATAAAAAGGTAAAACAGAAACGAATGAAAAGAACAGGCATAACACCAAGCTGATGAAGTTGTTTGTACTGCACCTTCTTCCTGCTTTTGGCTAATTTCTGGGCCATCTGCTTAGCATGGAACAAACAGAGACAGGAGAATAGTTAGAAAGAATTTGCGGAGACTCAAAGTCAAAAAGGGAATTGACAAACTAATACTGAATAGTGGCATAAAGCGTTTCTGTGGGAAGAGGACTGGCTTTTAAAAATCCCAGTCTAAAGACAATCAATGTCGTAATTCAGAATTTAGTATGTGGGAAGTGGTGAAGTGAGACAAAGGAAATGTGTTGGGTGCTTCTTATACTTAATTGCGATTGATCTTTCCAAAGAACCAAGTTTTGGCTCTGTTAATTTTCTTTATTGTAGGCCTGGTTTTCTATTTCACTGATTTCAGCATAGACCTTTATTTCCTTCTACTTTCTTTGGGTTTAATTTGCTGACTTCTCAGTTTCCTGAGATAAAAACTTAAATTACGGCTTTTCAAACTTTATTCTGATATTCAAAGCTATGAATCTCTCTCTAAGCATTGCTTTGGATGTATTCCACAAATTTTTGTGTGTTTCAACTTAATCATTATTCCATTAATTTTTTTTTCAATTTTCCACTGCAATTTCTTCTTAGAACCTTGGATTATTTAGAATTGTATTATTAATTTTGATACATTTGGGGATTTTCTAGTTATTTTTTATTTATTATTTTTTTTTTTGAGATGGAGTTTTGTTCTTGTTGCCCAGGCTGGAGTGCAATGGCGTGATCTTGGCTCACCGCAACCTCTGCCTCCCAGGATCAAGAGATTCTACTGCCTCAGCCTCCCGAGTAGCTGGGATTATAGGCATGAGCCACCACACCTGGTTAATTTTTGTATTTTTTAGTAGAGATGGGGCTTCTCCATGTTGGCCAGCCTGGTCTCGAATTCCTGACCTCAGGCGATCCACCTGCCTCGGCCTCCCCAAGTGCTGGGATTACAGGTGCGAACCACCATGCCCGGCCTCTAGTTATCTTTTTCTATTGATTTTGGAATTAATTCCCACTGTGGTCAGAGAACACAGTCTGTACGTCAATCTTTTGAAATATGCTGAGGCTTAGTTTTATGTTTCAGTACATGACTGACTTTGATGGATGTGCCATGTGGACTTCAACATATGCATTTTGTAGTTGCTGGGGACAGTGTTCCATCAATGACAATTAGGTCAATTAAGTTGGTTAAGAGTATTGTTCAAACCTTCTATGTACTTGCTGGTTCTTTAATCTGCTTGTTCCATCATTTATTGAGTGTGTCAAAACCTCCAGCTGTTATGTGGATTTATCTGTGTATCCTGATTCTGTCAATCTTTACTTTATCTTACAGCTGTGTTATAAGGCACGCACATATGTAGGATGGTATGCCTGCTTGATAAATTGATCCTTTCGTTGTTCTCCCTCTTTAGCTCTAGTAATACTTCTTGCCTTAAATTTGTGTAATATTAATATAGTTTACATCTAACTAAAAATGGATGTACCATACTCCCTTTTGCTCACAATTAAAAGACAGCATAGTTGATAAAAGCAGAGAGTGGGGCTGGATTGTCCAAAACCAAGTCCTGGCTCTGCCATTTACTAGCTGTGTGACTTTGAGGCAAGCCACTGAACATCTCTGTGCCTCAGTTTCTTCATCTGCAAAATGAAGATAAAAATAGTATCTACCTCACAGGGCTGTTTTGAGGACAAAATGAATACATGCAAAGCTCTTCAGTGCCTTGTACATTCTAAGCACTATATTTGTGTTTGCTGTTATATGATTATAATTGACCTAGGTCATGATGCAATTTCTTGCCTTTTGCTAAGGCTTGCTATTTATACAGATCTTCTACAAATAATGGTGAGTCAATGGCCAAACTGCAGATGCTGTTGTGGTAATGGGAGTGGGGTGTAGGAAGAACTGCTCTCTCATATTCCTGGGTACTCACCTGGTAGAAAAGCTCCTCTGCTCTCAGCAGCACATCTCTGTTTCATTAGTGACTAAAATATGTTGCCTATACTGCCTCATTGTAGAGAAACTGGATGAGTCAGCCATCCAGACACCACATAGCGAATCTCTGGTACACCCGGGAAACTAGGGCAACCGCACTCCCGCACAGATGCCCTGCTGTTCTTACTGGTGGCCATGAGTTCACAGTGAATAGTCTGCTCTCAAAAAGTCTGAAGGTAGCAACTGTGTCATCCTGACTGCTGCACATTGCAGTGGAAATATTTCTGCATCTGGGAAGTGACCGTATGCTGATGTTACACCACGCCACACCACGAGGATTCCCATGTGGAATCCCAGAGTCTGGCCAGGGATGTTCTGACTGGCGTCAGTTATAACCTGCATAACTGACAGCTGGGAGATCTTTAATGTTTGTTTGACCTTGACCTCTCCTGAAATGATATGGCAGCAATATAGGAATTTCCATTACTTTGGATACCAAACCTGACAGCTGTTGGTCAAAATTCAACTCTAGGGAACCAATTTGAAAGAACTCTTTCAAAAGAAAATAGGTTCCACCATCCCTCGAGTACCCAAATTCCTTTTTTTTTTTTTCTGGAACTGGTGTTGAGGAAGAGGATCCAAAAGGCAAACCGAGTCTCATGAAAAGTATTCTGAAACTTTTTTTTGGGGGGGGGTGGGATGGGGGGACACAGTCTCGCTCTTTCGCCCAGGCTGGAGTGCAGTGGTGCCATCTTGGCTCACTGCAACCTCCGCCTCCCAGGTTCAAGCAATTCTCGTGCCTCAGCCTCCTGAGTAGCTGGGATTACAGGCACCTGCCACCATGCCCAGCTAATTTTTGTATTTTTAGTAGAGACGGGGTTTCACCATGTTAACCAGGCTGATCTTGAACTCCTGACCTCAGGTGATCCACCCGCCTTGGCTTCCCATAGTGCTGGGATTACAGGTGTGAGCCACTGCGCCTGGTCTGAAACAGTTTTTATGAAGTTAAAAATATTCTGTGGATTTAGAGTAATACCATCTTTAAATCACTCATGATATCCAAGTACCCTACAATAAATTATAATTTAAAATTTAAATATAACATCACAGAAGATGGGAGAGTTGGAGCCAGAATGAGAAATTAGGGTAGCAGAAAGGGGTCCAAGAGAAACATAAGGCCAGCATGCATTTTTAAGCCAGGAATGCCAACATCTATTTAAACCCTTGTGTTTCCTGGGATTGATCATGGCTTACCACATGGCGGGGTGTGGTGCAAAGGACAAACTGCAGCACCACCCACCCACTTACTCCATCCACAATGTGTACTGAGTTTCTGCCGTTGTTAAGACACTCTAGATTAGTCGTGCCAGGGATGCTCCTGACTATTCTATCTTTTCTTTCCCCACTGACATTTGCTGAGAACTTGTTATGTGCCAGAATCCTTCGAAGTATTTCCCATAAATCAGTGTAAAAGCGTACAACACCCCTGTGAGCTACTACCCTGCTAGGTGGTAAGCCATGATCAATCCCATGAAACACGAGGTTTAAGTAGATGTTGCCATTTCTGCCTACATTGTGTTATCCTCATTTTTCAGAAGAGGGAAATGTGGCAGAGAGAGGCTAATTAACTTGCCCCAGGTCACACAGCTGTGAAGTGGCAGAACAGAGATTCAAATTCTGGCAATCTCACTCCACTGTAAACCCCTAGTTGTGCAACTGGGGCAAGCTTGTCATCTGTAAACTTCTCCATTTGTCTACACCATGCGGTGAACAATACCTACCTCACAATATTCTCTACCTCATCCATTTTGAGGAGTACATGAGAATGAGATAATGCATGTGAAGGGCCTAATACTTTACTGATCATAGACTTTTTCAACTAAGCTGGGAAATGATACAACTTAGGCAAAGCTATAATGATAGATATTTTACTTCTACAATGAAATCATAATTTTGAGACAATCACAAAAGAATGAAAAAATCTGATCTTTGGGACAGGCTAGTTAAGATGGATATATGAATATTTGACAATGAATGCAGCTTGCCAAAATGCATGGACCACAAGATACCTAAACACCATTTGTAATCTAATTGCATAAGCCTCAGAGGAAGAATGGAGACAGAACACCACCCTCCGGGTGGATGGACACGAAGCAGTCTCTGTGGTTCAGGTAGGGCTCAGCAGGCCACCCTGTCTTCTGGCTGAAGAGCAGAGAATGAAGTGGGAATGAGAGTGGAAGGCAAGGTAGAGATGCAGTGGAGAGCAAGGAAGACAAGTGAGCTCATTGTGCTGGCTTCCAGTCGGGCTCTCTCCAGATAGGAGGTAGGCATGAGTCCCACGCTGTTAGGGGAGAGGTGTGTTTCTATCTAGGGCACACTAAAGACCGACAGCACATAGCACAAAGCTCTCTCTAGAAGTTTCTCCCAAAACATGTTCCAGAGAATACTACCAATAAGACAGGTATCTATCAAATGGTGACACTTAGCAGGTATCTATCGCATGGTAACAATGTATTCTGTGCTCAAGTAATTATGGGAGCTGCTAGTTAAAGTGAATGAAATCTTCTTAGTGCAGGACTTCCCAGAGCCTTTAAGAGGAAGACATCTGTAGCAAATATCCGAAAAGGAGATCTATTTTCTTGAGCTCATGTGCCAGTGGAACTCTATTAGTGACAAGCGCTTAGCCTGACTAGAACGCTGCAGGGCACAGTGGGAGGAAAGATGCCTCACACACTGGCGGGTCCACCTTCTCTAAGGCAGTGGTTCCCAGACGCTGGTGCAGAGCGGAATCTCCTGGACAGCTCGTTAAAACACAGACTCCCGGGTGCCACCTTCTGAGATTCTGACTCAGTAGGTTTGGGGTTGGGCCTGAAAACCTGTATTTCCAATAAGTTCATAGGCAATGCTGATGCTACTGGTCCGGGGATCATGCTTTGAGAACCAGAGCTCTAATGCAATCCCCTAAAGTACATGAGGGCTCTCTGGAAGGATATTACTTCTCAAAAATGATGACCAACAAAGGCAGAATGAACACATTAGGGAGGGACCAAAGACCAAAACAAACAAACAAAATTTAATGGCAGATGTCTTCTAATTCTGCTATTGTGCTCAGATATGTCATCTCTTAAACTGTGGTAGACAGAAAAGCCTTTAAATTCCAGAGCCCTCAGCTTACCTTGTATTATTGTTACCTAACATTCTTTTTGGCTTCTTTTTACTGCAAGTTTCTCAAGCTCAAGAACTGCGTATTGGTTAATTTTTATTCTGAAAGGGCCTATCACAGGAGTCTGCACAGCAACAGTTGGCATTTGGGGCCAAATTCTTTTGTTTCTTTTCACATTAAGTAGAAAATACCTGGCCAAACCGCAGCTCCAAATTCTCTCTCCATGTGGCAATGAATCTTGTAAGTTTTTTGTTAAACTAAGAAAACAGTAACTTTCAAAACCCCAAGTCCAAGTCCAATGAGCAATGTTCAATTTTAGTATACAGTTGGTACTACGTGAGCGGCAGACACCACAATCGACAAATGGAACAGAAATTAAAGACTGCTTTGAAATGGAAACCTAAGCTTCAAGGTCAGCGTCTGTTCAGAGATAAAGCACCATGAGTACCAGGGTGCGTGGTGAGCAGTTTTCATTCACATCCAGCCACGTCCATCTGGTCAAACAAACAATGTAGGCAGAGGAAGAGAGGGACAAAACTGGGGTCCCTGCAGGAAGTGAGGGAAGAAGGAGGAATCAGAAAACAAAGGAGGAAACTACCCCCACCTTTGTTTAGGTGAAAGTGCCAAGCCAGAAATTACTAATCAGCTTGGGGTTAAGGACATTGTTAAATGGATTGCAAAATAAATCCACAGAGCTTTTCTTTCTCCTTCTTTCCTGGATGGATGCTATAAAGTCTGCAGCTTTGCTATGCTCTGTGTCCTTTCTGCCAAGGTGGCCTAGAATAACTCGTTCTGAAAGGTCAGTCTCTCTTTCGGAAACAGCATGGCACCATCTTCCTTACAGAGCAGTGTCTGCCAGGCACATGTGGGCACCCGGTGCAAGCTCCTTCCACTTGAGCCCAGCCCAGCCTGCTCAGGATCAACACTCTTTGCCCCCAGCTTCCCTTTGCACTGATGAAGTCCATGTACGCTCCCTGACACAGTCACTTTTTGGAGAGTGCTCACTTAAACAGGCATCTCCATTTACACTTGGAAAAGGCTTCTAGCTAGAGGTAACGTCAACCAATCTGACGAGCATTTTAATGGACGTAAAAGGAACATGAAGCAGAAAATATTTAATGACAGGCAACAGTTCCTTCCAATGCACAGATGCACATTGTAAACTGATACTTATAAGTTATGAGTGAAATGTAACCATTTAATTTTACCACTCTATAATGAATTCCTCACGCCAGAGTAATTTGCTTGTAAAAATAAATATATGTTTTCCAGATGTGTATTCTGCTCTAGGCAGGTCTAAAATGTATTTATAATCAGAAAGCCTCTATCTTGCTTGTTCTGATCAACAGAGCCATCTAATTTTTGGTTCAAATGAACTGTGGAACTTTGGGATACCAATCCTTCAGAAGCTTTGAAGTAAAATCTCTGATTTCTTATGAGGCAGCTGGACTTTAAAGAAGGAATAACAACACTATAGGACACCACTGTGGAAATAAGAAAAGATAATTCACAATACAATTGGCACTGATGAGCTTTGGTACAGGGATGCTGTGTACCTTGAACATTGCTTTATGTACAAGTGATGTGCCCCGTGCCTGCTTTTTCCCTGTAAGGCCATCTCAGCACTACCTAAGTGTCATAAGGGGACTGGAAAGGCATAAATGTTCTATCTGTAGGAGTCCAAAGCTATCGGAGGGCTAATAAACAAGGTGTCCCAAAGGAAACCTGAACCTTAAAACTTTGAAACCTTGATGGATAGAACCTAGAAAAAACTAACCTCAAAGCAACATGCAGTTTTCAACCTCAGGAGTCTTCAGTACTCTTTTGGGGGCAGACTGCAGCTTTATTCTGGAAGATTTGCCTGAATGGGCTCTGGTAGCATTCCTTGATAGGGGCTCTTTGGCATTTTGGTAGAGATAAAATCTTTGTTTTGTGGCTCTGCCCTGGACGTTATAGGGTCTTGAGCACACCTGGCTCTGGCCCAGTAAACGCCCCCAATCACGGTGACAAGCAGAGGCGCCCCCACTCATTTCCAAACACATCTTCTGAAGGCAGTCCCTGTCTATCAGAGACTCCAAGTGAGGCACACCAGGCCTTTGGGCTTCCACCAAACCTGGGGAAGCTAAGAGCACCATTCACCTGGAAGCCCAGGAGGCATACCTGGTAACCATGGGGCACGTGGAGTCAGAACTATGTCTCTATGTCTCTTTGATTTAAAGTTCTCTGCTCTGTACAAAATAGGATGTGACTGTGCCTGAAAAGCAGCTTGTTCTCTCTGAGAGGCTTGTGGGTTGTTGCTTTGAATGCTGTGCCTGGAAGACAACTAAACTAAGATGGAGAAGACCTTGGGGAGACTTTCTGGCACAATGTCACCACTTTGTAGAAACGGGAAGACAGGGAAAGGGAACTAGGCCAAGCTTGGATGGGCGGCTCCCCAAGAACCTGGTGAAGTTCTATCCGTAGCATTGTTTAGTCTCAAAGTCCGAAAAGGTATGAAGGTCAGACTGTCTCCAAGGAGTTGTACTGTTGGGAGCCATGGGGCAAGGCACATCTCTTTGGGCAGGGGGTGGGGCTTACCTTAAAAGAACTGGACCCTCCCACTGTCCATCAGTCTGGGAGAGGCTAATTTTAGAAGAAGACAAACACCACAGACATGGGCCTTATGGCAGCAGGGCCTCTGAGGCACAGGCAAGGTTTGTGTGCCCCAGATGAAGTGGCTGAGTGGATCCCTGACACATGGAAGGAACTATAAGGTCCTGTCAGTAATCCTGACACTAGGTCTGGCCTAGCAGGGTGGTGACAACAGCCACTCTTGAGGCAGTTGCAAATCACTCTTCCCTGGTTTATAAAAACATCAGTAGACATGTCAAAAGTTGCAGCATAGGCTTACTGTCCTAGGAGGAGTTAAGGGAACGGCCAACTCTGAGCTTGGGGGAGAAGCATTTCCTCCAAGTGCAGAGAGGTGGTCAGATCAGTGGGTGACACACAGAGGCCCCAGCAGCAGGAGCGGCAGTGAGCAGCCTGAGGAGGAAGCCATGAGAGGGACATGGGGCTGTTCACACAGCATCCTGGGAACTGCAGGATAACTGGACAGCTGAGGGTTCAGGGGCATCATAATTACGGTGTCGGTGATGCTATGAGCTGCTTATTATTTACCACATGGCGGAGTCTGGACACGTGACTATCATAAGAATCAGCCTGGGCATGAGGCCCAAGCCAACTGCCTCTCCTCTGCAAGCACCTCCTGGAATTGTTGGTCACTTACTGTTCCTTTCTACCTCTCAGGCAGAAGGCAGCGGTCAGAGGTGTTCACATCTGCAGGCTTCCCCTGCACTCTGGCGGCACTCTGGCTGAGCTTGAGGACAAGGATCTCACTTTATCAGCTGCTGTTTTTCCTCCCTGCCAAGACCCTGCACAGCCCTGCATGCCTAAGTGCTCAAGGAATAATGTTTTCTTTAATTGCGAGATTAAGGAGTCTCAGTTACTGCGGTCTACCTGTCCCTCTTTCTCCTTCCACATTACCACACAAACACCAGGATGCAACCTGGAAGTGTATGAGAGAGAAGGTATGAAATATGGAGTGGCTCCTTGAGGAAAGAATCCATTTGGACCAGTTGAAACTGGATAAAACAGACTCTTGCAAGGTCTAACCTATTCCAACTTGCTGGAAATACCTGGTCCTGAACTTCTATCATGAAGTTCTGCTGTCCCTAGGGCTCTAGGTGACAATGGCCTCAAGGCTCGGGGAGACTGCCCAGTGGTTCCAGGTACTGGTGGCACAATGGCAAGTGGATGACATGAATGTACCTTAAGTGTTCCTGGACTCCTGGTTTGCCCATTATTCTAGGTAGTTTTGGTATCGTGGTGGAGATTCTAGAGCTCTGCATTTCTGCATTTATTCATGGGAATAAACCGGTTCTGGATGGTTCAAACTAGTTGTGAATGACTTAAACCAGACGAGAGTGGTTCCTCCTGGATCAAAAAGGCTCGTTCCTTTTATGTCTTGATTAAACAGATTCAAACATGTTATGACTGGCTCAAACTAGTTTAAACTGGATTAGCCTTGCACTGACCTTAGACTAGCCAGGTTAGATTTGATCAAAGGGTTCACTGTCCTTGAAGCAAGCCAGTTCAATCTAGCTTGAACAGGATGGACTGGTTCAAAAGCAATGCCACCTAGTTTGAACCAACTCTGTAACCTGAATGTTTGCCACTGACCTCCAGCTGTCAGTGGAAATCCAGTGGTACATGTCGTGCACTTGAGACATAATACTCAAAATGGCATCCTTCCTCATTACATCAACTTTTCAAAGGTTGTGATCATAAGTATTTCTTCTCAAGACTGGCCATTTATTACAACCTAAATAGATCATGTTTGTACATAAAGACCCCAGTAGACTTTGGAAATTTTTGTTAACAGGCACGTGCATAAGCACTGCCTGTCTGATGTCATCTCAAACCATTCTCCTCTAAACTAGATGTGGAGCCGTGGCCAGTGCTGTAGACTGCTCAAGTGCCCACACCTGCCCACCATCCCTGCTGGAGCACCCAGATGTCCTCACCTTGATCCTGCTTACGGCTTCCTGGGCCTGCATCATGCGCACATTTTTGGAAGGAGTTTTGTCTGAGAGCAGCTGGGTGGAGCCAAGGTAATTGGCAGCAAAAATGATTCCATCGATCAAGTCTTCGGGGTCGCAGGGTCCCGGAACTGTAACACACAGAGCCACAGTGAGGGAAGCCATCCTGGGGCGGGGCCTGCCAACCCCGTCAATGGCACGTCACCCCTCTTCCATGCCTCACCACTGGCACAGGTGAGGCAGAGCAAACCTGCTGGTCTAAGGCATCTTTCTGTGTCTATCTGCACCCACACCTCATTTTCAAATAGAAGGCACAGTTTCTAGAATAATTTGCTTCTCTAAAACCATTTACTATGGAAAGTGATGCAAATATTTACTTAAATATGGAACATAAAATTCAGCAATAAAGCATACTGTTTCTCCTGTTAGACTGAGCTCTTAAGGGACAAAGACCATGTCATATTCACCTCTGATTCTCTTGTGTCTTACTGTCACCCAGGTGGTATCAACTACATGTTTGCTGGATAAATGGTTAAGTAACTAGATGGCTGTCTTTTTAGAAAAGCTTTTTACAGCAATTCCTATTACTTGCCTCCCATTCATATCTCCTCCCCCATTTAGTCCATAATGGAAGAAACAAATTTATAGATCAGAAAAATAGGATATCTGTTTCAGAATGTCTGGATTCCTGTAATGGCTTCTGACCTCAATTGTGCAAGACAGATAACATGACCTCAAAGCCACGGTCCTGTGCTGTCAATCTTGTTCACTTACAGGGTATAATGTTCTTGGCCTGTGCCTACACACAGACAGATTCCAAGGAAAATCAAATTTTCTGTTCTAAGTTACCAGCCTTTTAAGTCAAACCTGTTTTAAATATTTTAATTGGGGGCACCTGATTCTAACCACAATTAGAATTGTAATTCTAATTGTAAACCCTAACTCGAAATTAAAACATGTCTGTGATTAATATATAACTGTATAACAGTCCACTTAAAAAGGCATTTTAATCTGCAATTGAACATATGTATTTTATTTTCTTTCTTTTTTTTTGAGACAGGGTCTCACTCTCTCGCTCCGGCTGGAGTACAGTGGTGTGATCTCGGCTCACTGCAACCTTTGCCTCCCAGGTTCAAGGGATACTCCCACCTCAGCCTCCCAAGTGGCTGAAACTACAGGCACTACCATGCTTGACTAATTTTTGTAGTTTTTGTAGAGATGGGGTTTTGCCATGTTGCCCAGGCTGGTCTTGGACTCCTGGGCTCAAGCAATTTGCCCGCCTCAGCCTCCCAAAGTGCTGAGATTATAGGCATGAACCACCACGCCTGGCCCTATGTATTTTATTTGCCTTGAGTGGTACATCTGGGGAGACTAAAATATACATTTTAACTCACTGTTAAAACCTCAGGGTCTTAAATTAGATAACTTGTAATGGAAACAATTTGCTTTTTCCTCTTGGAAGGCTAATCTGAAATGCTTTTTATTTTTACCCTTAAACATCAAGCTCATCTTGAGTTTACACAGCTGCTTCCTGTGCTGAACTACTTATCAGAGTACAGATGTAAAATAATCTACTCATTTATCTAAAACTAAGGTGGTGCTTGAAACAAAGAAATTAGAAGTGTTTTAGGAAGGGCTTTCACAAAGCATCTATGTAGTAATTAAATAAGGAAGCCTGTTATTTGTCTTATTCTCCATTTTTACAAGCAAGACTTCGAGGCTAATACTGTGAGTGGTACACAGACAAATCTGCCTCCACTACTTACCAGTAATTCACACTCTGCTCAACAGCCACAGGGGCCTGCTCCGAATCTTTTATAGATGTGAGACGGATTCGGGCTATATATGATATACAGGTTCAGTTGTGTGGCAGGGAAGCATATAAAATAATATATGAACAGGTCTGAATCCACATTACACTTTATATAAAGTAAAAGATTGTCAGTTCTTCCATGATAAGTTCCTGGTGATGCATTTCAGTGTTATTGAAACATAATCATTATTGCCAACCAGATATGGAGAAGAAAGATCTCATCTGGGAAATGAACTTTAAAAGTCTTCCATCTATTTTTTAAAAATCAACGTTAAAAGAAAAACAAAAACTAACTACCTTCTCTACGGGACTTGTAACATCATACATTCTTCTCTGATATGGCGCTACGGGCGCTATTCACTGACAAGGTCCCTTTTTGACTACAGTAAGTGTGGGTATGGGGAAACGTTTAAAAGCAATCCAAATTATATTTAAATGACTGTAGAAATGCCAAGCAGCCAAGACACACAAATATCAGGCCTAAACACATTTTGAGATATGATCTTATTGCCATTTATCCTTTCAGGAAATTGAATATAATTGAATGTCACTGTCACCGCATCACACCCAGAAAAATAAAAGCCCGAATTTCATAAATTCACTTTGGGCTCAGTGCTAGTATATTCTTACAAAGTTAAAAAAAAATTAAACCCTTAATGATCCTGTGTCAGAGAATTGCAAGTTTTCTTTTGGCCTTTCAGAACGTGGTTTCCCTTTAGTGCTGCCTTCGGGTTGCTCTGTGGATGAGAGAACGCACACGTGACATCCTCACACTCAGGCTAACGCTGAGCCTGAAAAATCTCTAGGCCAGGGGGACGAATATGAAGAAGGCAGCTTTCAAACTTCAGAAAACTTCCCAGAGTGCTCTCACAGAATTTCAGAGCCTCACAAAACTGATGCAAATAATTTACAGATGACTGAAGAGAGAAACCTGAGTAACTAAACCAAAAGTGTGAGCTTGTCCTGGGCTTTGAGCCCAAGGGTTCATGAAGGTTTATGAGCCCTGGTAACCCTTTCCCAGGCAGTGGAACACAATGACTGTCCACGCACAGGATCCAAAGGCCAGACACACCCTCAGAGAGATGTCTGGGCATTCTCTGGCCTCCAGAAAAGCCTCCTTCAAGGAAATGGTGATGCACCCAGGTAGACCCTCAGCACCATCTCTAGCCAGAGAGTTGAGTGCCTCTTTGTGAATGAGAAATGGTGCCTGATTTGGTGCCCCATTTGGATGGTACAATCTCCAGCTGGAGTGCAGAGCTTGGCTGAACTTTGGCCCCACTTGGCCTCTGAGTAGGTGCCCTTGTGCAGTGAGTAACCTGCACAACCAGATGTGGCAGCCCCACAAAGACACTGGTTTCCAGAGAGAATTATGGTGCCAGCCTGCCAATTCATAGCCTGGCTCTGCAATGCCAACTGTGGGATCTTGGGCAAGTTATAATCTTGATGCCTCAGTTGTCTCATTATAACATGGGGATAATAACAAAACTCATTTCACAGGATTGATGTGAGGATTCAATTAGTTATTACATGGGAGGTGCTTAGAACAGAACCTGGCAGAGTAAGCATGCGGTAACCGTTACTATTACTAGCTCATCCACATAATAGATGAAAATTGCTGGGAAGGTTTTTCTTATTAAAAAAGACCAAAATTTCTGCCTTAATGTTCATTCCCACTTGAATTTTTCTTATTGAATGTACGGGGTGCACAGGGACAGAATAAGGAGACTTGGGTTTTTGATCCAATGTGACCACTGCTAAGCTGCATGACACTGGGTAAAGCCCACAGCTTCGACTCCAATTTCAGAGTCCTCATCCACATAATAGGCAAAGACGTGAGTAGGATTTTTGAGAGGCTCCCAGCTATCACCCTTCTGAGTCTAAGATTCTAAGACTGTTAACATTGTGAATAAGTGACTTTATGGCCTTTCTTCCCTTCTATTGTCTTATATCTCAGTGCTTCATATGCCCCAATACTAAAAGATTCATGAATGACTCAGTGCTCAATATTTGCTTTTCAGCTCTTACCTTCAACGTAGGTTGGGAATGAAGCCAAGCTTTTTCTTGACTGTAATTAAGACAAAGAGGTTTCAAAAAGAGCAAAGTATAATGAAATATGCGTTAACACAATCATCCATGCAACATGAAAAATAAACACATGATCAGTGGCAGTTACTGGTTACTGATCATTTTTAGTTAGAGAAAGTAAAGTGCAGATAAACATGCATTTATTAGTAAAGGTTACCTAAAACCCAGAATAGTCCATTCATATTTTAGATAACCTAGAAATCTTACATTCCACAATCAGAGAGGTATTTGCCAACTAAAAAACAATCCCACAGACAAAAATCTCTAACAACAACAATAAAAAGGGCACAATTTGTAGTCTTAAGGATCTGCATTTCCATGTGAAAAACTGATTAGTGAAAGCACCGTTATGACTATACGTTGAAATTAAGAATTCTCTTAGAGAAATTTATTTTACTCTTTGCCACAGTGATCTCTCACTGTGCTAAAAATGTGTGCTAGAGGTTTTTAAAATCTCTTTCTTCCATCTCCTACTGATTTATTTTAGTTGCAAAACTCCATTATATAAATCATTATTGTGTGTTTTCTGAATAAGAACACAATAATGGAGTAAATTCCAGTAAACCCTGGAATTTCTTCTGCACCTCAGAGCAAAGGTCAGTGTTCTCACAGCACTGTTGGAAGCAGAGATGATGAGCTAGACACCTTTTAGAGCCTGACTAGATGGCAGCTTAACTGCCTGCTCTCAGAGGAGCAAAACTCACCATACGTTCCTTTCAGAAGCAGATGTCCTAGATGTAACACTGACTGAGATAAGAGAAAGAAATTCACCCCTGCTTCTTACCAGTAGAATTTGTAGCTGGTGTGTCTGGACCAGGGTGATACAAGCATCACAGGAGAGTGGAGAGTTATTGTTAAAGACAAGTCCCTAAAATGCGTAGAAGGTAAGATTTGCATGGCCAAGAATTTCATTGCTGAGAACCTACCCAGTCTTAGGTGATTATTTAAATGCATGACTTTAAGAGGAAAGATATCTGGCACTGAATAGCTGTTGGATAGGCTGACCTGCATAGATGGTAGACTCTGGGGTGCCTGGCAGGTTGGATGAGGAAAGCGCCCTGGGTGAGTGTTGGGATGTCATTGGGAGCAACTCCCTAACCTAGCACTTAACACAGTGCTCTTTCCTTGGAGGATGGGAATGGCAAAGGGATGATAACTTAGTTAATACTTGGACAACAGTCTAAAAATAGTAGTTTTAATTGTTTTGTGAAAAAGTGGGGCAGTTGAAGAAACCTAGTTATAAGACTCCAGGTCAATTCAGGATAATGACAATTCAACACTAATCACACAATAATATATTGTACAGGGCAGCTTTTCAGTAAACCTGCTGCATGTGTGCTCACTGAGATGAAATGGCTCTGCACACCAAAGTAGGTGGGTTCCTAGTGCACCAGGAAAGAAAAGTTACTGGCTAGTAATGCGTTTATGAGAAAATGCACACCAAATAAAAGCCAGGATATGTGGACAGGGGAAAGAGAACTCCAGTTTCAGCAGTGCTTTACATTAATTGTATTTTCCACTTGCCTAAGTGAGAAGATAGGCCCAGTTGAGGGCCAGCAGCCAAATCTAATTCAGATTGGTTTAAAGAAAAAAAAAAAAAACCCTCATAACTTCATGTTATGCAGATGGAAGCTAGCATCTTCATAGGGGCCAAAAACTTTTAAGTTACTATTTCCCAACCATTTCCCTACCCTTGTCCCAAGTAACTAGAACCTGGGGTAATGAGAGTTTGTTTAATCAAAATTGCTTAGCCTCCAGGTACATCTAAGAAGTCACTTCACATTTTCTTGTTCTATTTGGATACTTTTCTGAATGCTAATCTCAAAGACAGTGTCCAGATTGTAGCAGAAGCTACAAAAGAATTACTTTAGTCTATAGTTCTAAAATTAAGAGCCATTTTATTAAGAGCTACAACAGAAAGCATTTGGTACATTCACTTATTCTCTACTCATGAGCTCACGACTAGCTTTCTTAGTCTCTGGGGTGGTAAGATTTTTTTTTTTTTTTAAAGAGTTTTGTGAAATGGAAGAATCTCTAACTATTGCACACAAATAGGATTTTCATCATCATTTCTAAAGATACATAGAAACATGAGCAAAGTCTTGAAGGACTGAGAAACTAACAAATTTGCCTTATTATATCTGAAGCATAATCAAATGCTGAATATTTAGATGTCTGGTTAGCCCTTTATTTCACACGTGGACTGAGATGAACATCTGCTGATCCTTAACTTTCAAGAATAAATAAAGCTACATTTAAAAAGTTAAAGGCTAAGATCTTTGGGATTTGTATTTCGGGGTCACACAAATTGACTCATGGGCAGAACTTGGAGGCACAATTGGGCAACCGGAACAATGACAGACAAGCTACCTTGTCCATGTAGTCTGTGGCCTGTGAACACTTTCTACTCTGGGAGTGGCAGATCTTGGCAGTTAAGAGTGTGGGTTCCCATGAGCTCTGGATTTGAATCCTGGCTGACCACTTGTGAGCTCTACAATCTCAGGTAAGTTACTCAACCTCTTAGCTTCTTCAACCAGCAAATGAGGACAATGATACCTACCTCACAGAATTATTTTAAGAATTAAATGAGACATTATCTGTGATTTTTCTCAGCCCAGTTCCTGGAACATTGTCAATGCTCAAGAAATGATAATGCTCATTACTGTTACCACCATGGCACTTGTCCTTTTTTTCTTCTTACTATGCGTTCTCACCCAACTATGTGATGTAAGAATGAAGCGAACTGTGGAACAGTGGGAACAGCAGAAACTGTGCCCCTGTCACTCCTGCTTCAAACGGCCAAGGGTCTGAGGTTCAAGACCAGAGGAGGCCTAAGTATATTTCTAGTCTAAATTCTAATGTTGGTCATTTCAGAGAAGGTCTATCTTTGATTGTTTGGTTTAATATGAACAGATTAATAAAAATACTTTTCCTTTGCATATTTAATGGCAAATATATGTGTATTCAAGGGTACCTCAAGGGTAAATTTTAACTAAGACTTCCTTTAAAAGTGATCTGCCACTCAGTTTAAAACAGAGATTGTTTTTTTCATTGCATTTAACATAAAATTATTAGCAAAATGAGGGAAAAGGAAACCATCGTTCATCATGTGGTTTACCTCTTTAACACATCTCCTCAGTGTTGATGAGGGAGCAGCTATATTTAGAGTGAGCTGAGCCCACACACAGATTATGGCGCAGACCAACATTTACTTGATGTTGGCTCATTAGCAGGTGTGGGTGGCAGTTCACTCGGTGTAAAAGAACCTTGGGTACAGGAGAAGGCAGTGTCTCCCCTCTGGGGCTGCCCTTTCTCAGCTCCAGCACCTCAGTGGGAAAAAGCAGCATCTTCTCACTGAAATGTTCCACATAAGCAAGGAGACCAGAGAATTTGTTGTCCAAAAGGGATACTTTAGAGCTGCACTGTCTGGCAGTCTGCAGCCACACGTGGCTATTTAAGTTAATTAAAATGGGATAAAATGAAAACTTCAGTTCCTCAGTTACACTGGCCACATTTCCAGGGTTTGACAGGCACATGAGGCTAATGACTAGCACAGTGGACAGAGCATAAGTGGAACATTTCCAGCATCGTGGAAAGTTCTCACAGACAGCACCGCACCAGCAAGAGAGAAGGGCGTGCTCATAAGACGGGCTGCCTGGACAACAGGCGTGGACTGGAACCATACCCTAGGTAAACTGGGAACATATGGCCACTCTATTCTTATGAAAGATATCGCATTTGGGCCTGAAATAAATGAGTGTTTAAGAAACTAACGTATTTCCCAAAGCACACAGCAACTGCAAGTCCTGGCATGTAACGCCAGGAGGAAAGATGCTGTACGTGGAGTTTTTGGTATCCAAGGTCAAGTGCTGTTCAACAGCACTTCCGGCAATGATGCAAATGCTCTGTAATCCACCCTCTCCAATACAGTATCCACCACTGACAGCCATCACAGGTGGCTACTGAGCACTTGAAATGTGGCTACTGTGCTTGAGGAAATAAACTTTTCATTTTATTCATTCATTAGACACCTGCAGCCAGTGGCTATCAAACTGGATGACATGGCTTTAACAGGTGAACTGCACACTGGAGAGGAGAAATCAGGATTGTTTTCACCAGGGTAATGTGGGTCAGGAGCGCTGTAGAATGCTGTATTAGGAAGCACAGAGCAGTATTACAGTAAAGCAAAGTGGCCCGATGGCCTTGGTAACAAAACAGCACCCTACCTCTTTATTTGTGGAGGCTTCTGCGGGGTCACTGGGGTGAAGAGGTGTGCCTGATGACTCTGCACCCAAGGGTGAGGAGCTGCCAGGAGACGGAGACTAGAACACAGCAAGAGGAAACACGGTAAGAACTTGAGAGACTTGGCAGACACTTGGCTGGGGGAAAGGGGCCGGGAGAGAGAAGCAAACAGAACACAACCAAACAGACACTGCATGGGGAGAAAACCTCTTAGAAAGGAGCTGCCAACTGTACATAAAACACTTGTGGTTTTCAAGCTTTCTTCTTCAACTCCTGCCATGCTTTCAAAGGAGATTTCATAGCTCTGGGCTGTTATTTCCCTTAGGCCAAATATTGAAAGAAAATACAGAAAAGGTGGAATATCAAAAGTCCTAAATGAATTGAGCTAAGGATATTACACAAATATGTTTAAAATATTTTTTTCTTACTGATGAAGCCAAATGTTTAGGGTATCAAATGTCTCATAAAATCGCCTGCCCCAAATGATCCAAATGAAAAGTAAAAATTAAAACACACATTTTTAAAGAGGCAGCTGGGCCTGATTTTGACGACTAGAAACCATACCACCTGTATTTTCCTAGTCAATTCAGATTTCAAATATTTCGGATTTAGTCTACAGGCTATTGAAAATTCAGAGAAATTTCAGCATTTTAGCATCTGAACACTACCTTGGACGCTCTTAGAACAGTTCAAAAATCCTTTGTCAAACAGTATATCAGAAAATAAGGCTTATAAACATAATCCAGCATATAAACAGAACCAAAAACAAAAACTGCATGATTATCTCAAT